TGTGTGTGTGTGTGTGTGTGTGTGTGTGTGTGTGTGTGTGTGTGTGTTGTGTCTTGGACAGTGTAAAATGCATAATCCACAGGGGTTCCAGAAGATCAAAACAGGGCTAGAAACATGTCACCTAGTGAGTGTAGAGGGCTTCGTAGCTTTTCAGATCTCACAAAAACAACAACGAACAAACAAAAGCTCCTTAAAAGTTATAAAAGGGACTGGAAAGATGGCTCAGCAGTTAAGAGCACTGGCAGCTCTTCCAGGGGCCCAGGGTTTGGTTCCCAGCACCCACAAAATGGCTCACCATCAGGTGATCCACCACCATATTCTGTCCCCCTTGGGCACCAGTTGAACATTGGCATACGTGTAGGCAAAACACCCATTTACAAGACATAATATTTAAAAGAAAAATTAGCTTTAAAAAGCAAATCAGAGATTAGAAAAAGAAACCAAGCAAACATGTTTGGGCCCATCTCAAGATGGCAACTTAACTTCACAATATTGTCCTTGTAGTACTGGTTTCAAAGACAATAAAGATAGAACATTGAGAAGGACATTGATTTTTTTTTTCCTCCACAGTGTCAAAGAGCCACTGAGTCCAAACAATGTATGCCAAAGTCAGAGTCCCTGAAAGGCCATCATGTGAAGCTGTATAGGTGAAGACTAGAATGTAGTTGCTACCCCAAGATATTGGAGATGTCAAAACTGATACATCAGGGAGAACTGCATCCAGGGAATGGAATCAGCCCAACAGAGACAGACTGCAGGCAACACAGCTGGACTGGATGAGGCATCTAAGCCAGTTGAAACTGAAGTTTCAGATATGAGACACAGAGCTACAAAAGCTTGTATTTACCCTGTTGGTTTAAGTCTTAATTTCCTCTAATATATCCACACTATGCACCCATGCCTCCTGTTTTGTATATTTGGTCCCATTTTATAAGGGAAATAATTTCTTTTCTTTTTTTTTTCTTGTATGAAAGAGGCTTATTGAATGGATGTGGGGGGAGAGAGAGAGAGAGAGAGAGAGAGAGATATGGTGGGGGAGGGGCACCAACAGAGAGAAGGGAGAGAACAGGAGAGGGGGGAGAACAAGGGCCAGAGAGTAAGATGGGGGAAGAGTGGCAGACCAGTCACCATATACCTGGCCCAGATGACATCAGGACCTTAAATGTCCCTAAGGGAAAGCCAGTTGAATTGCCTGCACACCATAACATTCCTCCCTTTTTGTTTAATTTTTAAAAAATGAGGAGCTATGGAGAGTTGGAAAGGTAGGAATGAGGACATTGGACCATTTCTCATCTAAGGCAAGTTAAAATATATAAATGTAGGTTCATTGGAAGCAGCTCTTGGTCACTGGGGTAAGAGAAAGAGAAAAAAAGTAAGAACACCAAAATGTCCAGATTATATGGTGAGGAGAAGAAGCCTCTGCCCTGAAAGGTTTAGGGTGGAGGGTGAGATTTGCCAGCCATCCTCAGCACCAGATAGGGACTGAGGAATGCTGGGAGAACCTGGAGCTACTTGTCCTGGGCCTGAAGCACATCATTCCAGTCTTTTGTTAATAAATAAGTGAATAAAGAGTGAAGTTTCTCTTCTGGCTACTTCCTGCTGACACTGGGGCTGCTGTAAGGAGGTCAAAAGGCTGAAATGCTGGCCAAGTACAGGAAGAACAGGCTGTTTTGACATTGTCCATGGTCTGTGAGAACATTAGTAACTGGGAGGGAAAAGTACAGGTCTGGCCTGACATCTGTGAGGACAGACTGGAATATCTGTAGGTAGTTACTTTGGTGCTGTTGTGGATGTAGGAAACATTTGAGACTGGCAGGATACTAGAACATATATATAGGCAGAAAACAAAGTTAAATAGGTTATGGAGGCAAATTTTTTTTAGGCATGCATTTAAAACTTTTGGGAGAGCCAACAGAAGTGGAAGGTTTAGATCAAAGAAGAGAATTGAACATAAGAACATCCATTTACCTGAGGAAACCTCCATTTACCCAATCACTGACAGTAATTTAAAATATTTTTCTTTGGATATGTCATCTAAGAAAAAAAATTGAGGCCAAGTTTAGAAGCAGAAGCATGTAAGCCTAGAGGCCCTTAAAGTGGGTGCAAGGTGTAGGAATCTAAAATGATTTAGAAGGCCTCTCAGAGGAGACTCTGGGGGTATGGTGGAAGACAAGATTCCCATGTCTCTCAGACAAAGGGAACATTTACACTGACCATGGAAGGGAACTCACCAATCCACCGGTGTTGGATGTACGGCTCTAGAGATCAAGTAGCCAGAAAAGAGAATTCCCAAAACTGGGGGGGGGGGGGAATCCCACCTCTTGAGATAGACAATAAGTGCAGTACTTATCTGGAACCCATTTGACCTAAGAAGTGGATCTGGGTGGATTTCCTGCAGCTTACAAGAGTCCCACTTAAGTTTTACAGAGGAGATAACACTTTAGACATGTCAGCATTACCGTGTAATACGCACTGAAATACACATTGTAGAGAAGGCAGTAGACACACACCTTTGAGTTAACAGCATAAACACTCTCTAAGGTGAGCTCTGGAAAGGCAGAGGCTTCCGTGAAGTAAAAGGGGCAAAAGCTCACTTGATCTTGACCTTTAGTATGATTATATATCATGGAAGAGAGGCTTCTTTTTTATCTAGAAGACTGGATGTATGTAAGTCTAGCACAATGAGAAACAACTTTTAAGTTCATACTTAAAGTCAAACCAAAGGAGATTTAAAATCTTGAGCTTGGAACTATGATAGTGGATTGTATAGTGGAATGTCTTTATTAGAGTTAGATTAATAAATGAGAGCTTTAGTGATAAATGTCAAAGCTCTAGACAGTCAATACAACAGTAGCATAGCAACAGGAAGAAATATGAAACATTTTCATTAATTTAGGATACCTTATCTCAGACCTTCCAGCCTTTATACCTTACATTTATCAACCTTCAAACATCTTCTTAGACCCTCAAATATTTTATCAGAAGCTCAGACCTTACAGAAACTGTACATTTTTGAGAGGGCATTTTTGAAGCCTTAGTTTCTGCTGTTAAACTGGTCTT